ACAAGAAGAAAGGTAAAATTCCATATAAGTTTTATAGTGGAGAAACATATGGTATTTGATGTTATCACTGTAAGAAGGAGGGTCACACAAGAAAGGTGTGCTCTGAACGCCTGAAAGATCATAGAGGTAATGGCAACACACCCATTGTTCAAGATGACTTCGACTCATCTGATGTTCTTGTGGTTTCAAATGGCGACTCAAGAAAAGAGTGGATTATGGATTCAGGTTGCACTTGGCACATGACTCCAAACAGAGAATTGTTCGAGGAGCTATGTGATCAAGATGGTGGATCGGTGCTGCTGGGAAACAAAAAATCTTGCAAAATTGCAGGTATTCGATCTGTGAGATTTAAGCTCCATGATGAGTCAATAAGGTTATTGACCGAAGTCATGTATGTACCTGACTTGAAGAGAAATTTGATTTCTCTTGGTAAATTCGACAGAAAGGGATACGTTTTTCAAGGAGAGAAAAGTATCTTAAGAGTCATGAAGGGGTCGAAGGAAGTCTTCAGAGGCGTGAAGAAACAAGGCATGTATACCCTTGAGGCTGAGGTTGTAAGTGGTTCGACAAATGTTGCATCCACGAAACCTGTGTCGAAGACAGAATTATGGCACATGAGATTGGACCATGTTAGCGAAAGAGGCATGGTCGAATTGGGGAAGCAGAACCTGCTAGGATGTGACAAAGTCGAAAAGTTGGAGTTTTGAGAATCTTGTGTATTTGGTAAATCCTGTAGGGAGAAGTTTAATAAAGGCAAGCAAAGAACACATGGATCCCTGGATTACATTCATGTTGAACTTTGGGGGCCTGCAAGGAATCCTTCACTCAGGTGCAAGGTATTTTCTATCCATCATTGATGACTATTCCAGAAGGCTATGGGTATTCATCCAGAAGACGAAGGATGAAACTTTTGAGAATTTCAAAAGTTGGAAGATTCTAGTCGAAACTCAAACTGGCAGAAAGGTTAAGAGGTTGAGAACCGACAATGGCCTTGAGTTCTACAATGAAGCATTCGACAATTACCGTGTTGAGTCTGGGATTGCAAGGTATAAGACTGTACTAGGTACTCCTCAAAAAATGGCTTAACTGAGAGACTCAATCGAATAATCCTTGAAGGGTTAGATGCATGTTGGTAAGTGCTGGATTGAATAAGGTGTTTTGGGCGGAGGTTGTCTCGACAACAGCTTATCTGATAATAGATGTCCCTCGACTACCTTGGGAATGAAGACACTTGAATAAGTTTGATTGGGATATGCACCTGGTCTCGACAGAATTAAAGTATTTGGCTGTGTGGCCTATGCTCATATTAGGCAAGACAAAGTTGAACCTAGAGCTCTGAAATGCATGTTCATGAGATACCCTGAAAGAGCCAAAACTTATAGGCTATGGTGCCTAGAGCCAGGTCACAGGAGGTATATCATCAGTCGAGATGTAGTTTTCAATAAAGCAGAGATGGCTTTCAAGAAAAATGATGATGCTGACAAAGAGCTGGAATAGAGAGAGATTCATGTTGAGGTGGAGCATGTTGATGTTGAATTGTGTATCCCAGATGAAGTCGAAGAAGACGAAGAAGATATTGTCGAAGATGAGGAGACTGATAATAATTACCTGTTAGCAAGAGACAGGCCGAGGAGAGTCATCAAGCCACCTCAGAGACTTGGGTATACAGATCTTATAGCTTGTGCCTTAATCTCTACAAGTGAGGTTCTAGACGAAGAACCTAGAGACTATAAGGAAGTTATGAGGAGTCGAAAGAAGACTGAATGGCTGAAGGCCATGGATGATGAGATGAAATCTCTTCATGATAACAACACCTGGGAATTGATCAAGAAACCTGTTGGAGCCAGGTTAGTCAGCTGTAAATGGTTTTTCAAAGTTAAGGAAGGGATCGAAGGAGTGGCGTCGAAGAGATATAAGGCAAGATTGGTTGCTAGGGGGTTCACTCAGAAAGAAGGTGTCGACTTCAATCATGTGTTTTTTCTTGTTGTGAAGCACAGATTCATTCGAATGTTACTTGCCATAGTGGCACAGTTTGACCTTGAACTATAACAGATGGATGTGAAGAGTGTGTTCTTGTATGGTGATTTAGATGAAACAATCCTGATGAGGCAGCCTGAAGGGTATGTCAAAAAAGAAAAGGAAGATTATGTGTGCAAGCTGAATAGATCCTTATATGGATTGAAACAGTCTCCTCGACGGTGGAATAGGAGATTCGACAAGTTCATGGCGCGCATAAGTTTCATCAGAAGTCAGTTCAACCACTGTGTTTACTTCAGATTTCGACCGAGTAATTCATTTGTTATTTTGTTGCTCTATGTGGATGATATTCTAATAGTAAGTAACAATGTCGAAGATCTAATGAGGGTGAAGGTTGAACTTAATAAGGATTTCGACATGAAGGATCTGGGAGCTGCGTCCAGGATTCTTGGGATTGACATCCGAAGAGATAGAAAGCAGTCGAAATTATGCTTATCTCAAGAGACATATTTACGGAAGGTTCTCGAAAAGTTTAGTATGTCGAATTCAAAGCCTGTTGTGACTCCAACAAATCCTCAATTCAAGATGAGTATAGATCAGTGTCCGAGCACTGATATTGAAAGAACTTATATGAATAACATTCCATATTCTAATATAGTGGTTTCTTTGATGTATGTTATGGTATGTACTAGACCCGACATATCATATGTAATAATTCTTGTAAGCATGTACATGGAGAATCCTGGAAAGGCTCACTGGCAAGCATTAAAGTGGATTTTAAGGTACATAAATGGGTCTCTGAATAGAGTCCTAATTTATGATGGAGCCTTGGGTGAAGATAGTAAAGCAGTAATCGAAGGATATGTCGACTTTAATTATGCAGGTTGTATGGATTCCAGAAAATCTATTTCTGAATATGTGTTCAATATGTTTGGGACAACAATCAGTTAGAAAGAAACACTTCAAAAAGTCGCTGCCTTATCAACCACTGAAGCAAAATATATTGCCCTAACTGAAGCTGTGAAGGAAGCATTGTGGCTTGAAGGTTTTGCAAAGGAGCTAAAACTTAAAGGTCGAGGTACCACTATTAAATGTGATAGTCAAAGTGTCATACACCTGTCAAAGAATTCAACCTATCATGAGAAAACCAAGCACATTGATGTGAGACTGCATTACGTCAGAGGGGTAATCAAGCGTGGAAAAGTCCAAGTGCTGAAGGTTTCAACAGATCATAATGTTGTTGATATGATCACCAAGACGTTGCCCAGTTGCAAGTTTTTCCACTGTATGTAGTTGATAAAGCTGCATGAAGAAAGCTAGTTTTTTGATGTTATAGAGTTAGATCCAAGATGGAAATTTGTGAGATGTTAGATCGAACGCTAGTATGGTCGAAAGGTAACTTCTAGTTCGACAGGAATTAAGCATGAGGACGAAGTCTGTTCATATGTTGTTGTCGGAGTAATGCGTGTTGTAGTTGAAGTTTGTTCTAACATGCATTAGCCAATATTGCTAGGTTTGTTAGCATGTTGAATTGGGCATTGCTTGTAAGCCCAATGGTTTAAGTTAGCTTTAGAAAGCCCATTAGGTTAGTGCGCTATTTTTCTTATAAATAGGATGCTAGTTTCTCAATCTTGGCATAAGGAAAAATAGGAAGATAAAATCCTAATTTCAAGATAGAGAGGTTATTTTGTTATTCTTGTATACTTGTAATCTTGTTTCTAAGATAAAAGAAAGAATAACAGTTTATAATCAATCCTTGTTGTTTTACCTTGTTTTCTTTGTAAACCCTAACCCTTTGGTGTTTCTTGATCATAAAAAAACCGTTTATATTTTGTTTCAAGACATCTGATTCACAACATTAATCAACAGTGGTTGATAATTCCTTGAGAGACTATGGTATAGTCAGAATTCTCAAGAAGACAATGGAGGTTATCCATTGTGGTTTGCAACAAGGACGGTTAGTCTAAGTTGTGTTTTGCAAAAAGGTCGGTTAGACTTGTTGTGACTTTTGTAATCTTTCAAGATTGAATTAAGTCCTTTTTGAAGGTGAAACCTGTGATTCGGATAGACTAGAGTAACTTTGTTAATAGTGAACTAAGATAAAAGTAATGATGTTCTATTTATTTTTATTCTTGTTAACTATGATGTTTGAAGTTGGAGAAGAAAATCATATTTGATGAAACTCAATTTAAACTCCGTTTTTTTGTGTTTCTCATCCCTTAAATCTGTTTGATCATTGTGAAATCAAATTTGTAATAACTCATCATGATTATGCAATGCAAGCTTTTATTCCAATGGTGTCTTCATTTTAGTTTTCACAAGTTCACCGTCTTTCAATTTATCATCTCTTTTCTCTTCTATTACTAATTGGTATTAAAAAAAACCTTAAGAATAGTTAAACCATCACTAATTATGTTGAAGATACAAGAACCCTCCACTCTCATCCAAATTTTGCTTTTAGTCAAATATATTGAACTTCTAACTAGTTGCTTAATGTGCCCAAATGAATTAACTCGTTCCAACCATGTTGGTAGATAGCTAGTCAGATATCTCCTTGATATATTGTTATGCATAGTTGTCGCAATATATATCTAGCTGTTCAACTAACACTTGTCTATGCCCACCTTAGTATTTCTTCCTTATCTCAACACAAGACACATATGCAAAGACAAAATAACATTAGTGATATCCCACAAATAAAGATACGGATATCCAAGTAAGTGGCACTTGTTTCTTTTACTGCCTTACCCAAAAGCAAAAGCAACACTTTCTAATAATAGACAAAACAAGATTTCCTCAAACATATTGCGATCTAACCACTTGCATGAAGATTGTAATTAAACAAATATTTAATATACCAAAAAGGATTTCTTAAGGATCCAATTATATTATAATACTACTTTAGTGAAAGCAAGATACCATATCCTACTATATTATAGAATAGAACTTCCATATATATAGTCCCTTATCTGGTAGTTTAATATAACAAACAATAGCCATCAAGTTCACCGGGAAAAAAAAACATGTATGCTTCTACTTCCTTTACTTCACCACTCCTCCATGACCTTCTTGTGGAATCTCACACAAGAAGGTTACTCTTCCAAAAGGCTGTTGATCATCAATCACAAACCAAGTCTCCTGTTTTAACAAACAACAATAATTCAACAGACTCACATTTCGGAGCTCGTGAATTTGATGCAAATGTCTTGATGATACTTGCGGTCCTATTATGTGCTCTTATTTGTTCACTTGCATTATACTCCATCATAAGGTGTGCCTTAAGATTTTCGAACGAAGCCATCAACAACAACCAAGCTTCACCTCAATTGGCTAATAAAGGAATCAAGAAGAAAGCTCTCAGAACATTCCCAACAGTGAGTTATTCAACAGAGTTGAAATTACCAGGTTTAGATACGGAGTGTGTGATATGCATCTCAGAGTTTACAAAGGGTGAAAAGGTGCGGATTTTGCCAAAATGCAATCATGGTTTTCATGTTCGTTGCGTTGACAAATGGCTAAAGGAACACTCATCATGTCCCAAGTGTAGACAATGTCTTCTTCAAACTTGTCCAAAGATTGGTGGATCGCAAGTGCAACCAATTATGTTGCCAGTACCAGAAATTATTATACAGATACAACCACTAAACCATGAAGCTGTTGAGCGTAACTATAGGGAAGAAAGCAGATAAATGTTTATTATAGTTACAAACTTTTAGTGGCTTTAGGTTAACCCCCAAATGTAAATATACATTAGGTTATCATCTAACTTTTTGGACCAATCTTTTCTAGATGCAATAATTGTGCTCTCTAGTATTTGCTTTAACTTCTTGCTTAACACCTCTACTTGACCACACATCTATGGGTGATATGGTGTGGACACTTTATTTTTCGCATAATATTTTACCATCATACTTTCTGAATACTTATTACAAAAAGTTAATCATAGTGCAAACCTCATTAACTATGCAAGCAATCGCTTCAACCCATGAAATAACATAATCAACACAAACTAAAATGTATTGATTAGAATATGATGAAGTAAAATGGCTCATAAAATATATACAATAGTCAAAAGGTTAGTGCAAATTTTCACATATTGCTTACAATCCTTAAATAGCGTGGGACACAAAAAAAACCACATTTGAGTAATTTTGTAGTGTTTCTCTCACTACTATGTTGGCCATCATAAACTGAGCTATGATAGTGTCACATGATACTATTAGCTTCCTCCCCTACAACATACTCCCTCCATTCCTATTTATAAGCAAATTTTAACATTTTAGATTCATTAAGTAATTAATGCATCTAATCTATATATAGTCCAAATACATCATTTATTGAATGAACCTAGAAAGTCAAAATTTGCTTATAAAAGAGAATGGAGGGAGTACCTTCTAATTAATCCGTCAGGACTTACCTTAAGCAAATATGAATCATTTTCCAAATAGAAGTTTGCTTCCTTGTAGAATCTCTTCTTTAGTTGCCAGGTGTAATATTTCAGAACACTCTTTGTTGCTTTGTAGTTATCCATATCTAAAAATCACGGTCTTTTGCTTATTCCCAATAAGTGCTCATTCAAGATATCCTCAGTGATGTTTATTTTCCTTTTTAGGCATTATAGCATTATCCAGCCTTAATAGATGATCAGCTACTACATTCTCAACTAATTTTTTGTTCTTGAACTCCAAGTCAAATTCTTGTAGAAAATATATCCACCTTAGCAACCCGAGTGTTGAGTCTCCCTTGGTGAATAAATATTTGAGTGTTGCATGATCTGTACATGAAATAACAACTTTGGAATCAATTAGATAAGGACAAAAATTTTCCAATTCAAATACTACAACCAGCAACTCTTTTTCAGTTGTTATGTAATTCACTTGATTTTCATTCAAGACATTGCTAGTATAGTAAATATAATGGAAAAATTTCTCATATCGTTCGCCTAAAACCGCTCCAGTCGTGTAATCACTTGTATACCACATAAGCTTAAAGAGAAGTTTCTAATTAGGAGCAACGATTAAGAACACTATTACAAACTTTTCTTTAGTAATAGAAAAAATTATTTATGCATTCATTGTAAAAAAAACAAAATCATTCTCTTTCACAAGGAGATTGCACAAAAGTTTTCCGACCTTTGAGAAGTCTTTTATGAAACAAAGATACAAACTTGCATGTCCTCAGAAACTTCTCACTCCTTTCAGGTTAGCAGGAGGTGGTGATTTTTCAATCACTTCTAAAGTTGCTTAATCAAATTCACTACTCTTCGAAGAGATTTTATTCCCCAAAAATAACTCCTTCAGTCACCATAAAGGAACATTTTTCTCAGTTTAAAACAAGATTTGTTTCGATGCATCTCTTAAAGAATGACATTGAGGTCATCAAGTGAATTACCAAAAACATAAAAATCATCCATAAATTCCTCAATTGAGATTTCAATCATATAAGAAAAAATAGAAAACATACACTTTTGGATAATAGCTAGAGCTCTAAATAAATCGAAATGCATCTACCTAGAATAGCCATCCAAAAAACAATAATATGTTTTCCCTGCTAGTATCTCTAACATTTGGTTCATGAAAGATAGGGGAACGTGATCCTACCTTGTTGCTTACTTTACCATTTTGTAGTCAATGCGCATTTGCCACCTGATAATGGTACAAGTTGGAATTAACTCGTCCTTCTCGATTCTGATTACTGTCATACCTTCCTTCTTTGGGAATCATGAATTGGACTAATCCAAGAGCTATCAGATATAAGACAAATTGTACAAGCTTCTAGTAACTTAAGAACCACCTTTTTCACAACCTCTTTTATTTTATGATTAAATCTTCATTGAGGTTGAACCACTGGTTTAAATTCTTCTTCCAGTTTGATTTTATGCATACTATAAGTTGGACTTATCTCTTTTAAATCAATAATATTCCATAAAATGACCTCTCTATTTTCTCTCAAGAATAACATAAGCTTTTCTTCTTCCACTTCAGATAAGGCTTTAATGCTAATAGTTTATTGTGTTGGCTCTTCACCCAAGAAAACATACTTCACTTATGAATGGAGTTCTTTCAGTTAAGTGTAGTTAAGCATCTTGGTTTCATCTTGAATCATACATTCTCCATATTCCCCATTAATTATTCAATGTCTTATCTTCTAGGGATACATTCAAGTATTTAACACATTCCTTCACTTCTTGATTTTGATCTTATTCAATCTTCTCAATAGAATTTACATTAACCATGTTCTAATGGTGACAAAAATGACTAGCCTTGATAAGTTTCCTTAATTGTGTCTTCAACTATATCAACCCTGTAGCATTGGGGATATTCACTTTGATGTTGCATAGCTTCAATCATATTAAGCATCCCTTTTTATTGTTGTCAGCACAAGATAAGTTCCCCCATCTCAACGTCAGTCAAAGCTCTACCTGTAGCCATAAAAGGTCTTCTAACACTATAAGAAAATGTTGATTTTCCCTAGTGATTTAGTGACGTGGTAAACACGTGGGAAAAAAATCTATTGTCAAGTGATTCCCACGTCACTAAAATATTTAATTAATAAATTATGTACACCTAAAATCTACAACGAAATTTTGGAATTTTAAGAGAGAGGGGAGTTTGAATTTTTCACAAATTCAGTTGTGGCGTGTAAAACACAAAGGAACTGAAAATTCAAAAAAGTCCTTTTATTTGCCACGTGAGTAGCATGTCACAAAATACCCACATGCCTTTCACGTCACAAAACTGCAAATAGTAAATGTCTCAGCTTTTTCATTAACTTCTCAGACACATTGGTTGTTGGAATTGAATGTGACAAGCTTGCGAAGTGATTTCCACGTCACAACCCACTTACATCAATGCTTTCTTACCGTTACGTTGGCATTTAGTGGAGCAACGGTTATATTTTAATATATGAGAATGTTCTGACGTGTTCTGCACATGGCAAATTTCCTAAGGGAATTTCACGTCGCAAATGTTGAAAAGGCTGGTTGGTTCCGACGTGGTTTTCACGTGGGTACCTTCCAACGTGTCCACCATGTCGCAAGTGTCCTTATATATTTAATTACCCAAAATTTCTTCAGCCATATCTCGTTTCTCTTCTTTCCTTCTGCCTCTTCCTTCTTCCCCTTCCCTTCATTGTTCTCCTTCTGCCTCCCTCAGAGCTCCATTTTTAACGAAAATTTCGCAAAAAATTTAAGGTGAAACATTTGTATGTTGGTTTTGTGACTGTTTTACCTTACCGTTTATTTTATGTTTTTTTTTATTATTAATTGTTGATTTTTTTTCAGATCTAAGATTGATTAAGAAGTTCCATTGGAAGCTTTGAGAGTTAGCTCTATATTGAGGTATTTATGCATTTCAATTTGTTTATCTCTGAGATTTTGGTGATATATGAAATATTATTTTAGAATATTCATTAGAAAATTTTAGATTTTTTGTTGTTAGATGTAAGTGTATATATATATATATATATATATATATATATATATATATATATATATATATATATATATATATATATATATATATATATATATATATATATATATATATATATATATATATATATATATATATATATATATATATATATATATATATATATATATATATATATATATATATATATATATATATATATATATATATATATATATATATATATATATATATATATATATATATATATATATATATATATATATATATATATATATATATATATATATATATATATATATATATATATATATATATATATACATATATGTATTGTGTTGTTGTTGTTGAAAGAAAAAAAATAAAAATAAAATGTTATGTATTTTAATTAGAAAAACAAAATATTTATTAGAAACAAAATATTTATTAGAAACAAAAATAATATATTAGAAACAAATTAAATATGTTATGTATTTTTAATTTTTAAAAACAGAATATTTATTATATTAGAAAAATTAGAATTTTTAAAAATATTTTTAGTAAACAATATTGTAAATAGAAAAAATTAAAATATATATTTTTAAAAACATAAACAATATGTATTATATTTAAAATGTGTTATTTTTAAATGTATTACTTTTTGAAAAAGTATTTTTATTAAAAAAAATAATGAATATGTATTAAATGTGTTATTTTTAGTAAACCAATTATATATATTATAGAATATTATATTAATGAATAGTTATTATATTTTAGTAAATATAATATATATTATTTTAGAAAAACAGATTTTTAAAAATAATGAATATATATATATATATATATATATATATATATATATATATATATATATATATATATATATATATATATATATATATATATATATATATATATATATATATATATATATATATATATATATATATATATATATATATATATATATATATATATATATATATATATATATTATATTTTAAATATGTTATTATTAGTAAACAAATTATATATTATATTTTAGAATATTATATTTTGAGAATATGTAGTATATTTTAGTAAACATAATTTATATTATTTTAGTGAACATATTTTATTAGGTTGGTGTCGAAATAGAAAAAATAGATTTAAATTACATATTTTATTAAAATGATATATAATGATAGTACAAATGTGCAGTATGTAATATTTTCGTTACTATCGTAGTTGGATGTACGATAGAACGTTACCAGGAAGATGTGGACTTACACCAAATT